AGGAGGGGAGACGGGTGGTGGTAATGGGTGGGAAGGGGGGAGGGAAGGGGTGTTGAAGCCAAGGTCAGGGCCAGAGGGTGATGGGCAAGGTTTAGGAGCAGTGTGTACAAGAAGCAGGTTAGGTAGGCGGACACAGGTGGAGACCCACCCAGCATGGACGTGACCACCTCGCCACTCAACCACTCTACCACTTCCCCCCTCACTCTCGTAGGTACGACTCTACCAAACACTCGTAGATATGACTCTTCCACACACTCGTAGATATGACTCCCACACACTCGTAGGTACGACTCACCCACATTTGTAGATATGACTCCCCCACACAGTCGTAGATATGACTCTCCCACACACTCGTGGGTACCATTCACCCACACACTCGTAGATATAACTTTCCCACACACTCGTAGGTACGACTCACCCACACAGTCGTAGGTATGATTCCCCCACACAATCGTAGGTACGCCTCACCCACACACTTGTAGATATAACTCTCCCACACAGTCGTAAGATGTAATGTGCGTTTTCATAACAGTGTTATGTATAGATCTGTATTGGAAAGTCGTGTGGTGGTGGTGGCGGCAGGTCACAAGAGAGGAGGCTGGGAATTACATCAATCTGCTACGTAACGTGTTATTAAATAAGCTACTCACAGGGTGCTGCTGGCTCTCCACAACCATTATGTAGGCCAACCTTACTGTTGCAATATATCTCTTCAGTAGTTTCTCTCTTTCTCTCTCTCTGCAGGAATATAGAGATAAATATTACCTTGCAGCTGAGTTATGCAAGGCGTGTGGCAAGAAGAGAGCCTATCACACCCAGGGCTGGACTCTGGATGAATTACAAAATCTGTACTAACAGTGCTGTGCCGATTGCGTGTTTATCTCCCACCCGTCAGCTTCACTGCTTCCACTCCACATTATATCTTTGTTATATTCAGTTGATTAAGTTAAGTTTATAGATGACTGATATGGTATAAAATAGCCAGGAAATGAAAGAAAAAAACAGAGGGAAATCTTTGATGTTGACGGTAATAAAGAAATGAAACGCTTAGGAACAGGAAAACTGGAGAGTAAATAGCCTACATAACAGAGAAAGTAACAGAAGGGAACTAACATAACAGTAGTAGAGGTGTATAATCCCCGCAGAACAACAGAAACCAAAGGGAACAGTATGGGGAAACAGGCAACAATACACACACACAGGAAACAATAACATCTGAAAGACCAGGAAGAACCAAGTTGAAACTGTTTAACATTTTAATCACTGGGGAACTGATTGGGAGAACTGGGATTTCCGTGGAAAAGAATTAGACTTGTGGAGACAGCACTATGGAACCTCGTGAGCCTTTATGTAACGGGAAGAACAAAATGAGGATGAACCACTCAGGATGCCTTTAGTACTCACACTAAACGACTTTGACACTGAAAACATTCTCAGCAGTTCCAGCCACCACTGTATTGCGTGTGACGGGAAGGAGAGACAGAATCATGTTATGGAAAATTTATAAGAATATGTCAAGAATGATGATTAGTTAACCTGGAGGTAAAGTATTATCTCTAGTTGGGTTAGACTAGGTGGATAATACCAGCTTAAAGTTGGGTATCACCCAGGCGTGGTGGGTAGTACCCCTGAGGGAGGAGGGTATCAGCCAGGCGTGGTGGGTATCAGCCGACGTGGAGTGAGAGTCATTAAGGCTCAAGGTCACTTACACCCATGGCAAACAACACAGCGTGGGAGGAGCCACAGTATAGCTCCCGGCCCTCCCTTCTTCCCCCCCCTCCACCATGGCGTCATCACAAGGGTACCTACTGAAGCCAGGTGAAGGACTATGACGTCATCACTGGGATACCTGTTTAGGAGAGTGGGAAGTGGGATGCTGTGAATGTACAACTGATGGGGTCAAACTCCTTTCACCGTTTTAAGAGTGTGTATGATAAGGCTTAAGAATCGGGTCCAGGAGCCAAGTTTACCTCAGCAAACATGAACAGTAGAGTACGAGTCTTGTGCGCGCACTCACACTAGAGATTATTGTGTACGCTGGAGAGCAAGCAAAGATAACAAGAAAGACTTCAGTATTGCTACTGGGATTCATAATTGATATTCCTGGCGAGATGGTCCTGAGTATCTTTGGGGATGACGCTAAACTGAGGTATTGCAGTAAACAAGGAAAGGTCATAAGAAAATCTGGACAGACAGCAGGACTGGTCGGGCGGGTGGTTAGTGGAATTCAACCCCAGCAGGCGCAAATTCATGGAAATCAGGGAAGCAGAAAGAAGATTGGATACGGATACAGATTGTGGAAGTGAGAAGCTACGAACCTTAGACAAGGACAAGGACCAAGACCAAGGTGTAGCCGCCTCTGATATATCTTACCTTTGATAGATTTCAATAGTTTTCCTACTCTGTAGCCGGCTCTGTGAGAGACTTCCCTGGTACTTACCTAATCAACCAGGTTATTCCTGCTGACGGCCCGCTGGCCCATGTAGCCATTACAACCTAGTTGATCTTGCACTTGGGGGGAGGTCCTGTCGACTTTCCTCTTGAAAATTTCTACATTTATTTCGGCAGTGTTCCTGACAACTTCTGATAAACAGTTGAAAAACCTGGGACCAAGGTTGATTCGGTGTTATTTTATGTATTCACGGTACCCATGCTTTTTACTGGGTTTATTTTATATATTCTCATATACAACTCTCACTCCAGTGTGTTGTTATGGCAGTGGGCAGATTTGGGAGTAGTACCCCAAGTATTTCTCACGAATATTGTATATTATCATATAATTCTCTCTCTTTCTCTCTCTCTCTCTCACTCTCCAGCGGAAACACACTCAGTCGAGTAGCCTGGAAAACACATGTGAATCTAGCGACCTTGTCCGTATGTGGATTCCATGTTGATGTTGTATACTCTGATAGGTCTGACATACGTCATATACATCCACCTAGCAACCTTAAACCAACACATATAGGTACATGGATGACCTCCGCCTCCGCCGTCACACTGAACGGAGAGTTATGACTTGATACGTGAGTTACGAGACAGCCTAACACTCCACCCACAACCGTGACAATAACCAGTCATCCACAGCCGTGACGACAAGAACTCATTAACAGCCGTGACAATAACCCTCCAACCACAGGCGTGACAATACTCATTCAACCACAGTCGTGACAATACACATACAACCACAGTCGTGCCAATAGCTCCGCGACATCAGATGGTAGTATTGAGTATGTGATGGAAGAAACTGTCTCACGAGTGAACACTTTGTGTACGAGAGAGAGAAAATGAGGGGGAGAAGGTAGTTCAATTAGGTGTCATCAGGAACTTCATAATACTCAGTGTGTAAAACTACGGACATTCTCCGCCAATTTTCACATTTGTGGGCGCTGGTTATTAAGTACAGGTGTACCTGGAGTATTCCTGGAGAAGGTTTCGGAGGTCAACGCTCCCGAGGGCCCGGTCCATGACCAGGCCTCGCGGTGGATCAAGGCCTGATCGACCAGGCTTTTACTGCTGGTCGCACGCAACCCGACGTACGAACCACAGCCCGGCTGGTCAGGTGCTGACTTTAGGTGCTTGCCCAACGCCTTCTTGAAGACAACCAGGGGTCTGTTGGTAATATCCCTTATGTATGCTGGGAAGCAGTTCAACAATCTTGGGCCCCTGACACTTATTGTGTTGTCTCTTATCGTGCTAGTACCATTATCGTCTTCCTCACCATTTTTACCTTTCTTACTGATTCCATCTTTATCATGTGAAGGAAGAGGCAATACTGGAGATAGCGAAGGCAGTGAAGGAAGGCAGTTTAGAGAGGCAGGAGGTAGCGAAGGCAGTGAAGGAAAGCAGTATAGAGAGGCAGGAGAGGGAGACACGCAAGAGAGGAGAAGTCATAATTCTGTATGATACAGAGGAACAGGAAGTAACGTTGTGTTGAATGATTTCCTAAATTCTGTAATATCTTGCTGGAAAATACATGTATATGAACTGACAGTGGGAAGCAGAGAGTTAACTGTCAGCTAACAAGAAAATATATCAACTGTTGCTTCTTACAATAGTTTTTTCACTAGGTGAAACCCATTATCCTGTGTTTTAATAGAAATAATATTTGTAATTCAAGGTCATGATATGACTTGTTTTTTGCGTCCGGCAGTACTGTGATTGTTGGGTGAACTCATGGCTGCCGTGGACTGTGTAGCAGCTCTTGTACTCACCTGTGTGTGTGCTTACCTATTTGTGGTTGCAGGTGTCGATTCACAGCTCCTAGCTCCGTATGTGTGTGTGTGTGTGTGTGTGTGTGTGTGTGTGTTGTACTCACCTATTTGTGGTTGGAGGGGTCGAGTCCCATCTCCTCCGTGTGTGTATGCGTGCGTGCGTACGCTCGCGTGTGCACTCATCGAATTGTACTCACCGAATTGTGTGTGCGGTGGTCGAGTCTCAGCTCCTGGCCTCTCCTCTTAAATAAAAATCACCGGTATTATTGGTTCCTGGCGTCGTGGTCGCTGCCATACCTTCCCTTCAAACTGGGTATTGAGTTTGCCTCTTACCACTTCGTCATCCAGCTCATCCCATTTATTTATAACTTTAAAGCTGAAAAAGTAATTCCTTATATCCTGGTGGTTCATCTGTGTCTTGAGTTTCCAGTTGTTACGTCTCTCCTTTGTGCCTCTCATTTCAAAATGTTTGTCGCTAGCTACTCTATTAAAGCCTCTGAGTATCTTGTATATCGTAATCACGTCTCCCGTAATCCTTTCTTCTGAAATGGTCAGGTTCAGACCCTTCAATCTCTCTTCATAACACAATCCTCTCATCTCTGGGAACAGTCTTGTTACAAACCTTTGGAACTTTTCTAGTTTTCACAAATGTCTGACCAAGTGAGGGTTCCATGCTGCTGCTGCAGTTATTATTATTATTATTATTATTATTATTATTATTATTATTATTATTATTATTATTATTATTATTATTGTTGTTGTTGTTAATGAGAGTATTATTATTGACAGGGCGGGGACCTGCGCGCTAACATAGAAGGTCTGCTGAAGAAGTTCAGAGTGACTAAAGAAAACGAGAAGGTGAGGCCTATTATTATTATTATTATTATTATTATTATTATTATTATTATTATTATTGGTTTGGTCAGATAAGTATAATGTAAATATTGCAACAGTAGGCGGGCTGGGTCGTGATGGCCAAGAAAAGTTTTGGTTAATTTTATACAGGAAAAACAACAACCTTAAGTAAACTTACCAGGATTTTGAGTTATATAACAGTGAGATTGTTGCAGTGATTGACCGTTCATATGCAGTGACTGGTGAAACTTGCAGTGACTGGTGAAACTTGCAGTGACTGGTGAAACTTGCAGAGACTAGTGAAACATACAGTGTACCAGTGAAACATGTAGTGAACCAGTGAAACATAGTGTACCAGTGAAACATACAGTGAATCTTACAGTGTACCAGTGAAACATACATTGTACCAGTGAAACATACAGTGCACCAGTGAAACATACAGTGTACCAGTGAAACATGTAGTGAACCAGTGAAACATACAGTGTACCAGTGAAACATACAGTGAACCAGTGAAACTTACAGTGTACCAGTGAAACATACAGTGTGCCAGTGAAATATACAGTGAACCAGTGAAACATGTAGTGAGCCAGTGAAACATACAGTGTACCAGTGAAACATACAGTGAACCAGTGAAACATACAGTGTACCAGTGAAACATGTAGTGAACCAGTGAAACATACAGTGTACCAGTGAAACATACAGTGAACCAGTGAAACATACAGTGAACCAGTAAAACATGAAATATACAAGTGAAACATACAGTGAATCAGTGAAACATGCAGTGAACCAGTGAAACATCCAGTGAAACATAGTGTACCGGTGAAACACATTGTACCAGTGAAACATGCAGTGTAACAGTGAAATAAAATGCACAAGTGAAACATGCAGTGTATCAGTGAAACATGCTGTGTACCAGTGAAGCAGTGTACCAGTGAAACATTCATTGTACCAGTGAAGCAGTGTACCAGTGAAACATGCATTGTACCAGTGAAGCAGTGTACCAGTGAAATATTCATTGTACCAGTGAAGCAGTGTACCAGTGAAACATGCAGTGTACCAGTGAAGCAGTGTACCAGTGAAATATTCATTGTACCAGTGAAAAGCAGTGTACCAGTGAAACATACAGTGTACCAGTGAAACATGCAGTGAACAAGTGAAACATACAGTGTACAAGTGAAACATGCAGTGTACCAGTGAAACATACAGTGTACCAGAGAAATATGCAGTGTACCAGTGAAACATGCAGTGTACCAATGAAACATACAGTGTACCAGTGAAACATACAGTGTACCAGTGAAACATACAGCGTACCAGAGAAATATGCAGTGTACCAGTGAAACATGCAGTGTGCCATTGAAACATACAGTATACTAGTGAAACATGAGTGAACCAATGAAACATAGTGTACAGTGAAACATGTAGTGTACCAGTGAAACATGCAGTGTACCAGTGAAACATGCAGTGTACCAGTGAAACATGCAGTGTACCATGTAAACATAGTGTACCAGTGAAACATACAGTGTACCAGTGAAACATCAGCGTACCAGAGAAATATCAGTGTACCAGTGAAACATGTACAAATTTTGCCATTGAAACATACAGTATAAATAGTGAAACATGTATAGTGTACCAATGAAACATGCAATGTACCATGAAACATGCAGTGTACCAGTGAAACATGCAGTGTACCAGTGAAACATACAGTGTCCAGTGAACATGCAGTGTACCAGTGAAACATGTAGCGACCAGTGAAAACAGTGTACCAGTGGGAAAATGCAAGTGTACCAGTGAAACATAGTGTACAGTGAAACATACAGTGTACCAGTGAAACATGCAGTGTACCAGTGAAACATGCAGTGTACCAGTGAAACATGCAGTGTACCAGTGAAACATGCAGTGTACCAGTGAAGCATGCAGCTGTACAGTGAAACATACAGTGTACCAGTGAAACATGCAGTGTACCAGTGAAACATGCAGTGTACCAGTGAAGATGCCAGTGTGCAGTGTATCAGTGAAACATACAGTGTACCAGTGAAACATTGCAGTGAAACAGTGTAACAGGGAAATATAGTGTACCAGTAAATTAGTAAAACATACAACGAACCACTGAAATATACACTGAAACAGTGAAACATATTGTCCCACTGGAATAGACACACAGTTATATATATATATATATATATATATATATATTTTATATATATATATATATATATATATATAATATATTTATATATATATATATATAATGCGTGTATGGTGATACTAGTTGTGTTGCAGGAGTGTTTCTAACTGGTTATTTGTGTTGCAGGAGAGTGAGATCTTCACACTGGCCAACTTGGACAACGGCTGCATCAGGAAGTTCATAGTAAAAAAAGTGGACGAATCGGTAGGTTCTCTCTCTCCGTCATACATGGTATACAGAGTATACATGGTATAAAGAGTATACGCGGTATACAGAGTATAAATTGTATACAGAGTATACATGGTATACAGAGTATACATAGTATACAAGGAATGGCTCAAACCACTTCTACCTTGTATAGAAAAAAGTAACTTTTTTTAATAGGAATAGTTGAGTTTGACTTTAACTGTTATTACACAATTACTACTAGATGTACTACTGTTACTACTACCACTATCAGTGCTACTGCTGCTGCTACCACTGCTACTACTAGTACTACTACTACTACTACTATAATACTATTACAGTTATAATACTACTACTGTCTCAGACGAGGCCGTGGGGGCGTTGACCCCCTGAAGCCCTCTCCAGGTATACTCAGGTATACTATCACTACTACTGCTATTATTATTATTATTATTATTATTATTATTATTATTATTATTATTATTATTATTATTATTATTATTATTACTGTCAGTACACAGCCAGTCAGTACAAGCACATTTATACAAGGCAGAGTACGTAGTACCAGTGTAGAGCCCACAGCTCATGAAATGTGTAAAAACATTAGAGAAAGTCCAGAGGTTGGCAGAAGACTGGTCCATGAGCTCAGACGCCGCACCTACCAGGAGACACTATGATAAGTGAACCTGCTGACCTTACACGATAGAAAGTCTGAAGGAGACATGATAATAACGTACAAGTTACTAGAAGCAGGTACGAACAGACTGTCTAAACCGAAGTAACTGGGGACATGGGGACATACACGGAGTAACTGGGGACATGGGAATATAAACAAAGTAACTGGGGACATGGGGACATACACGGAGTAACTGGGGACAAGGGAATATAAACAAAGTAACTGGGGACAAGGGAATATAAACAAAGTAACTGGGGACATGGGAATATAAACAAAGTAACTGGGGACAAGGGAATATAAACAAAGTAACTGGGGACATGGGGATATAAACAAAGTAACTGGGGACAAGGGAATATAAACAAAGTAACTGGGGACATGGGAATATAAACAAAGTAACTGGGGACATGGGAATATAAACAAAGTAACTGGGGACATGGGATATAAACAAAGTAACTGGGGACATGGGATATAAACAAAGTAACTGGGGACATGGGGATATAAACAAAGTAACTGGGGACATGGGAATATAAACAAAGTAACTGGGGACATGGGGATATAAACAAAGTAACTGGGGACATGGGAATATAAACAAAGTAACTGGGGACATGGGATATAAACAAAGTAACTGGGGACATGGGATATAAACAAAGTAACTGGGGACATGGGAATATAAACAAAGTAACTGGGGACATGGGAATATAAACAAAGTAACTGGGGACATGGGAATATAAACAAAAGTAACTGGGGACATGGGAATATAAACAAAGTAACTGGGGACAAGGGGATATAAACAAAGTAACTGGGGACATGGGATATAAACAAAGTAACTGGGGACATGGGGATATAAACAAAGTAACTGGGGACATGGGGATATAAACAAAGTAACTGGGGACATGGGAATATAAACAAAGTAACTGGGGACAAGGGAATATAACAAAGAACTGGGACATGGGTAAACAAGTATGGGGACATGGGAATATAAACAAAGTAACTGGGGACATGGGGATATAAACAAAGTAACTGGGGACATGGGATATAAACAAAGTAAACTGGGGACATGGGGATATAAACAAAGCAACTGGGGACATGGGGATATAAACAAAGTAACTGGGGACATGGGAATATAAACAAAGTAACTGGGGACATGGGGATATAAAACAAAGTAACTGGGGACATGGGAATATAAACAAAGTAGCTGGGGACATGGGGATATAAACAAAGCTAACTGGGGACATGGGGATATAAACAAAGTAACTGGGGACATGGGGATATAAACAAAGTAACTGGGGACATGGGGATATAAACAAAGTAACTGGGGACATGGGGATATAAACAAAGTAACTGGGGACATGGGGATATAAACAAAGTAACTGGGGACATGGGGATATAAACAAGTAACTGGGGACATGGGAATATAAACAAAGTAACTGGGGACATGGGGATATAAACAAAGTAACTGGGGACATGGGGATATAAACAAAGTAACTGGGGACATGGGGATATAAACAAAGTAATGGGGACATGGGGATATAAACAAAGTAACTGGGGACATGGGAATATAAACAAAGTAACTGGGGACATGGGAATATAAACAAAGTAACTGGGGACATGGGAATATAAACAAAGTAACTGGGGACATGGGGATATAAACAAAGTAACTGGGGACATGGGGATATAAACAAAGTAACTGGGGACATGGGGATATAAACAAAGTAACTGGGGACATGGGGATATAAACAAAGTAACTGGGGACATGGGGATATAAACAAAGTAACTGGGGACATGGGGATATAAACGGAAATTGAAAGCTTATTAATGAGCCAGAGAGGTGAGGATGAGTGTGCGGGCAGCCAGGGAGTGGAAGACAGACAAAGCAGTGCTTGTACCACACTTCATATACAGTTTTGAGGAGAGGTACGATGGGCCCACTGGGCAGGGAGCTTGTGAAACCGGTTATATATGATTTAAGATGCGGGGCCAGGAGCTGAGAGGCGAATTCTGCAATTAAAAATAATTGACAATGTTAATGTCAGATCGAGGTATTGTTTTTTTAACTAACAATGATAAAGTAACAAAACAAAAGTGAATCAAAGATGACGACAAGAGAGGTGGTGTCGGCAGCCGCTAGATAATTCAACTCCGCGCCAGTGTTTTTGTTATTATTTTGTGCTGTATGTTGATCATATACGAGTGTTAACAGGGAGAGTGTACAAAAATTATCATTGATGCTGATACATTGTGACTCTGACGTTGCCTGTGTGTGTGTTAGAAGTTAACTTAGTGTTTGGACACTAAGTCAGCTTTAGCGTGTCAAGGTCGTCTGTTGCTGCTTGCTGACTTTCTTCTGTACTTACAGTTAAAGTCTTTGTTCTTACTTAGACTGTGTCATAAAGTATCCCGTGAAGCTGTGAACTCGTGTGGGGACATTCACTGCAACGAGTGGTGGACCTTCGTTTCTCCAGATGTTTTTCTGGTTTACCTCTGTTGCTGCTCCACTTCCTGTCTACTGTCTGCTCTTGTCTCACTGTCTGTCCTTGTCTCACACTGTCCTTGTCTCACGATGTCCTTGTCTCACACTGTCTGTCCTTGTCTCACACTGTCTGCTCTTGTCTCACACTGCCTGTTCTTGTCTCACACTGCCTGTTCTTGTCTCACACTGTCCTTGTCTTACACTGTCTGCTCTAGTCTCACATTGCCTGTCCTTGTCTCACTCAACAAAAACTGGCCACAATGAAGCGGTTAACATTCTTCTTCTCTTGATAAGAGTGACTGAATACGAATCCCTTGACTGGTGTGAGCTGTCTGGCACCTTCCTTGACTGGTGTGAGCTGTCTGGCACCTTCCTTGACTGGTGTGAGCTGTCTGGCACCTTCCTTGACTGATGTGAGCTGAACTGGCACCTTCCTTGACTGGTGTGAGCTGTCTGGCACCTTACTTGACTGGTGTGAGCTGTCCGGCACCTTCCTTGGCTGGTGTGAGCTGTCTGGCACGTTCCTTGACTGGTGTGAGCTGTCCGGCACCTTCCTTGACTGGTGTGAGCTGTCCTGCACCATCCTTGACTGGTGTGAGCTGTCCGGCACCTTCCTTGACTGGTGTGAGCTGTCCGGCACGTTCCTTGACTGGTGTGAGCTGTCTGGCATCTTCCTTGACTGGTGTGAGCTGTCCGGCACCTTCCTTGACTGGTGTGAGCTGTCTGGCACCTTGACTGGTGTGAGCTGTCCGGTACCTTCCCTGAATGGTGTGAGCTGTCCGGTACCTTCCCTGAATGGTGTGAGCTGTCCGGGGCCCTCCCTGAGTGGTGTAAGCTGTCCGGGGGCCTCCCTGAGTGGTGTGAGCTGTCCGGTACCTTCCCTGAATGGTGTGAGCTGTCCGGTACCTTCCCTGAATGGTGTGAGCTGTCCGGTACCTTCCCTGAGTGGTGTGAGCTGTCCGGGGCCCTTCCTGAGTGGTGTAAGCTGTCCGGGGCCCTCCCTGAGTGGTGTAAGCTGTCCAGGGCCCTCCCTGAGTGGTGTAAGCTGTCCGGGGCCCTCCCTGAGTGGTGTGAGCTGTCCGGGGCCCTCCCTGAGTGGTGTGAGCTGTCCGGGGCCCTCCCTGAGTGGTGTAAGCTGTCCGGGGCCCTCCCTGAGTGGTGTAAGCTGTCCGGGGCCCTCCCTGAGTGGTGTGAGCTGTCCGGGGCCCTCCCTGAGTGGTGTGAGCTGTCCGGGGCCCTCCCTGAGTGGTGTGAGCTGTCCGGGGCTCTCCCTGAGTGGTGTAAGCTGTCCGGGGCCCTCCCTGAGTGGTGTAAGCTGTCCGCGGCTCTCCCTGAGTGGTGTAAGCTGTCCGGGGCCCTCCCTGAGTGGTGTAAGCTGTCCGGGGCCCTCCCTGAGTGGTGTAAGCTGTCCGGGGCTCTCCCTGAGTGGTGTAAGCTGTCCGGGGCCCTCCCTGAGTGGTGTAAGCTGTCCGGGGCTCTCCCTGAGTGGTGTAAGCTGTCCGGGGCTCTCCCTGAGTGGTGTAAGCTGTCCGGGGCCCTCCCTGAGTGGTGTAAGCTGTCCGGGGCCCTCCCTGAGTGGTGTGAGCTGTCCGGGGCCCTCCCTGAGTGGTGTAAGCTGTCCGGGGCTCTCCCTGAGTGGTGTAAGCTGTCCGGGGCTCTCCCTGAGTGGTGTAAGCTGTCCGGGGCCCTCCCTGAGTGGTGTAAGCTGTCTGCGGCTCTCCCTGAGTGGTGTAAGCTGTCCGGGGCCCTCCCTGAGTGGTGTAAGCTGTCCGGGGCCCTCCCTGAGTGGTGTAAGCTGTCCGGGGCTCTCCCTGAGTGGTGTAAGCTGTCCGGGGCCCTCCCTGAGTGGTGTAAGCTGTCCGGGGCTCTCCC